GGACAATGTGACTATTTGCAAGACCAAATAACTTGTGTGCAAATTGTTACAGGATTTTGCAAGTGTTGGCATTTTTTGCAATCTCCCAATGTTGCGCTTTCTGCCTTCCTCCTGGGGCAGCAAAGAAGTGTCAACTGTGATATGGCTCCTGAATTTATTACTGAGCCAGCTGGACAGACTTGGGGCTAAATAACACAATGGCACCTTTTGGATTTGCTTGAGCTTCGTTTGTAGCACTGCAGAAAAAGGATAGAGCTAGCCTGAAGTTAGCTTAAAATATAAGGCCCTATTCTTAGATTTAGTAAGTCTCATTAATGCTGCCCTAGATGGAAACAGTCCCTTGAAACACTCCATACCTGGAAGGACCATCCTGGTTTGGTAGTATTTCATATTGGTTATGACCCAGTAATTAAAAACTCCTGTTAATGTTACCAGGATGGGATATCGTGTCTGTTCCTCAGCTCGTAGCCCAGCACATAAATGTCCCCCCAAATTCACATCATTTGAAGTTAATGTGCCGGCCAAACAAATACCTACAATACCTAATCTCTAACAAAGCCATCGCAGCTGCTAAATATGACAGGGATGAGGCAGAACCATGTCAGGAACACAAGAAAATCGAGGCTCTCTAGGCAGCGCAGTGCTGGTACAATGGCTTTGTGCTCAACCTGGTTTGAGACACTGACAAGTGGCCAAGAACACTAGAAAGCAGAACATAACATAAAGCAGCCGGAGGTTGCTCTGATAGCTGAGGCCGAAATGACCACAGGAAAGATCCGAAAAATGCAGGCAATCCACTCCCCTCTTCCCTTGGCCTCTCTGCAGTCAGGTGCGTTTTGGTCACACGCAGCGGGGGGCTGTGAAGTGTGAAGAAGCGGAGAGGCTGCAGCGGAGGCCAGTTTCTGCCAGCCTGGCACCAAGCACAGCCCCACCAGCCAAGAACCAGGCCTGTGAGGGTCCAGCAGGCAAGTTTGTTTTAAAACCTGTATTATAGCCTCAGAAACTTCTGTTCTTGATCGTAGCTTTTTGAATTGTAAAAGTCTTTTGAAAAAGGTCAGATGAAAAATTTGTTACTTGAGAGTCTTATAGCTCATTCCAGATGAAACAGCTTGTGCCCTAAAACACAAATTCATTCCACTTACTTTTATGGAGCTCAATGAGGAACAAAACCTGGGAGCACAGTGGGCCTAGAGTTTCACTCCTTTTCAGTCAAAGGAGATGGGCATTTCCATAAATTTAGTTGAATCTTACTGCTCTACGAAATACTCCTTAGAAATACCCTTGAAATTCCTTAGAATTACCCCTATGGTGAAAACCAAGGCTATTCTGGGAATCAGCGCTTCTGCATTTTATCTATTTGGATGATGCCACAGAATGATTAGATCCTTGCTATGGAGTCAGCCATACATTACATCAAAAAGACGTGTGACCCTGTTATTTATCTCCCAGACCAAGGACAATGAGTGGTTAATCCTTGCCAGCACCTGACACAAAGGCAAAGCTACATTTGAGATGCAATCGGGATCCTGCAGCTGGTCTGCAAAGGGCTGGGTTTTGCAACATTCCCAATTGGGGAACAAAGAGATGTTAGCACTAAGTCTTCAAACCACTGAGCCCAAGAGAAAGGAACTTAACAGGGCTCACACAAAGGAAACAGGCAGGAGAGGGAAGGAAATGGGCACTTTTGTTAGAGAAGACGTGCTTTGTTACCAGGAGACAAGGAAACTAGCTTCGTGCCATCTCCAGATTCACGTGTCAGAAAAGAGACTCCAGCTTTCTGCTAGAGACTAGGCTTTCTAGAAGAAGTCTGAAACCCTCAGAGAGCTCATGTGTCATTCAAGTGGACTGTGAAGCAGAGTATCAGAGCTGATGCCCTGCAAAAATGTGTGGAAAACCTCGGCGTTAGGCGTATGAGGTCAAGGAAATGTGGGTCTCAGGTCCCATTTTGTTGAAGGGTAACTGACAGAAAATGTGTGCCAGAACAGCCAAGGAAAAAGAGATTTTTGCAACCTGCTCATACCCACAGAGGCGCTGGAGCACGTGTGCCTAGCACGGCGGGATGAGATGTCAGCAGCTGTGGAGCAATAACCGATGTATGTATTCAGTTTCCCAGATTTTCAGGATTTTGTAGTCCATCAAATTAATTTTTGAAGCTGTTTGCAAGGGTGGAGCAGGCACACAGATACAGGCACCTCTCTTACCTAGTTTCTCCACAGCTTCCATGCACACTGAGATACATGTCGGCTCTGTAAGTAGCATCCACGGTGAAAGTCTTTGTTTTCACAACTATCAGGCCTCCATCTGGCTAGATAAGATGGAAAATTGGTGTAAAGTTACAAGGTTCTAAAAAATACATATTGCCTTACAGTTTGGGCCAATTACAGGCATTTTCTTTGCCGATATACCTGTTTTCTGGGGGGAAAAAAGGCAAATGCTGTTTCAAAGTCTAAGCCAGGGCACAGACAAACAGTGACAGTGCATATTTTGAAGACTGATGACTATTAAAGCATGCCAGTCAAATGGTTTATAATATTGCCTATTCTCGCTTCTATTGATTAATGTATTATTGCACAGCTTTCTGAAGAAGTGTTATCCTAGTGCTCAATGTCATATGCAAAAGCATTGATAAATGCAAATAAAATAACTAGTATTTACATGAAAGCATGCCCAGTGTTTTATGAAATCTGCCTCCCAAACTCTGCCTCACTCCTTTATAACATGGAATCGAAAAAGACATTGCAAAGTACTGCAGTTTTCTGAAACAGTATCCAAATTTAAGAGCTGCTCATCCTGTTCTGTAAGTTGCTTAGCGCATTTCAGGATGGATTTACTGGGGAGGGGAAGAATTAAGAAGACCCCAGTGACAACCAGTTGGATGTATTTATTTCAGATTCTGTGACTCGGCAGCAGTAACAAAATTCTGCCGTCCCGAGCATGGCTGCATGCAGCTGTGTCCTCAGTTTCTGTCTCTGAATTTTAGAGGTGACTTTCTGAGGCTGGAGGCCCACAGAGGAAGGAAGCTGTCAAACACGGTTCTGCTCAGCCATGTCTCTTCTCTCCCCGCACCCAGTTACCTTAGTCTGGCCCTAGGCTTGCCAGGCCCTCCTATTACCTGATCAATTAATTAATAGGCAAGGAATCAACCCAGCCAAAAAATGAAGTGATGTTTTTTTCTCAGCTTAGGGAGAGGAACTGATTGAAAGGAGAATGCGATAGGCAGTGCAGCTGCTGTTAGGGCAATAAATGGTGTTACCCGTAAAATTTGCATTATACAGCTGACACTTTTTGGCATTCTGCACCAATTTCATTCCACACTTGCTGCGAAGGTGATATGGAGAGAAAAGGAAAGAAGGCAGGCAGGCAGGCAGGCAGGCAGGCAGGCAGCAGGCAGGAAGGAAAGAAAGAAAAAGAAAAGAAAAGCATGTGGAGGCTTTCTACTTGTGTTACAGTATTCATGTAACCAGGCAGCGAGAGAAGGAAGCCTCCAGATTTCTCAGGACGGCCACAGCTCTTGCCAACGTACATTTCGAAGGCAGAGGGAATGCTCATCTGTGCGGACACATTTATAGTAATTCTCCTTGAAGCAGAGTCCTCGCCTTCTGACTTGCAGTAAGTTCTTGTAGAAAGCGTAGATATGGTTTAAAGCATTCTGTGGTGGCACCTAGGTTAACACAACACAGTGTTATGGACCAAAAATGTACGTTTTTGCAATGCTGAACTGCTTTCCAGCCCTCCGCTGTCATTTACAGTTCACGTAAAATTATGATGTGACTAAACCCAAGTCTGCCTGGCTTTGAAACTAGACCTGGTTTCTGTACAGTCCACTGTATTTTCAAAGTCTCATTTGAAACAATCTGCTTACTCTGTGATTACTATCTGTGTAGTTCCATTACTCAGCAACACTCCTCTAGGTAGGCAATGCGCCCCGTGGTGACAGGACCTTTCTGTTAAAGACAGCATAGGGTGGGCACAGCCTTCCCCGGGCTTGCGCTGAGCTTACCCAAGGGTGCCAGTTTCAAATAATTTTAGTCTTCAGTGGGGAATTGTAACTTTTAGCAGGTCCAGCCCGGATCATCACACCTCAGTGGAGCATTCTACACGGGGTCACAAATCTATTCACGTCAATGAGCTCTTGGGCTCAGTGTATGTGTGACGGGGTCACTGGTTTGGCAGATTTATATTCAGCTGGTTGGATGAGATGATCCAATGATCCCTTCTGGCCTGAAATTCTTTCAAGTCAGTGGAGCTGGTGACAATTTATACTGGCTGAGGCCTTTGCTCTGGACCTCAGCATGCAATCTGCCTTGCTGAAGAGCCAGCAGGCTGGCATCTCTCAAAGCTGTGGTTTATATTAAAGACATATTAAAGGTGATGTCACTATTAGCTAGTGGACTGGTGACTGCTGAGAATCTGCCCCCAGGGATGGGGCTATCTTAATGAGAGCTTCATCTTCTGGACACATTCTGCTGAGCATCCCAAGGGGAGCAACCCTGGAAAAACTGCCTGGAAGTGTTTGAGAGCTGGTATCACAGCTAAGCTGCATCTATCCCAGCAAATTTAAGGTGCCAGGGAACAGTTCTGGCTCCTGTCAGAGCAACCCGGGTACAGTTTTGGCCTGTGCCAGCAAGCACTTTCCCAAACAATTCCCAGGCACAGTTTGCAAAATTAGAATGACCCAGGGCTGCTCCCCACAGGGAACCTGGTACAGCCACACTGGTGTGGGGTTACAGTATGGGCACGGGTCGTTCCACAGCCGCAGGTCGCAGTGCCAGAGAACGGACCCACACACATCTGCTTTACTGGTGCAACCACTGAGCGCAAAGTGGGTAAAGAGGACTTAAAAAATCCAGTTAAAGGGCATCTTTCTTCCAAAGATGTGAAATCAGTCGTCATCTTCACAAGTCAGCCTCTCAACACAGCAGCGGGGCTGTACCCAGGTAACTGGGGCTCCGAGGTTGAAAGGAACGAGCGTATCTAGTAGAGCGCAGCGCTCCCTGCCATTATCCCTGCTTTGTGCTCTGGATTCCCGGAGGTTCTACCTCTGCTGCCACTTCTCAGGACACGCTTTGATCGCTTACATTAAAGCCAAAGGCTGATGCACAGACTTTTCTTCCCTTTATGTCAATGACAGCTGCGTTTTCCACATGCTTTGTTCTGATAAAACTGTCATTCAGCAAAGCCTGCAGTGGGTTCATTTTCCGTCTGTTTTGTAAAAAGAAATAGATATGTAAGTGTTCGTTCCCCTTCCCTTTTATACTAGAAACCAGATCTTCCTCCAAATGGAATTCAGGAGTTCCAGCAAAAGTAATGCTAGGCCTCAGATAAGCAAAATTAAAAAAATTTAAAAAAAATTGTAAAAACAAGAGAGCAGCAGAGTAAACCAGCAGAAAATGGTTCCCTTTCTCAGAAAGGCCATAAAAGTCCAACTACATTTTTATAGTGCAAATGTTTCTGGGTTCCTTTTTTCCTGGCATTTCATTTTCCTCTCACTGAGGAAAGAGTCCACAGTGAATACACTGAGAAATGACAAAAAACTTGCTACAACCAGAGCAGAAATAGGGGGGGTGGGGGTGGTTTCTCAGCCAGGCCTGACCCAAACCAAAAATTATTTTCTTTTTCAATGGTCAGCACTAACACGGTTACCGTTAGATCTCTGGGTCAGTGTGACACGACTAGGGCGCTGCTTGAAACTTTATGTTTCTCTCATGTGACCATTATCTCTGGTTGTCTGCATAAGCAGCAACAAGAAAAGTTAAATGCTGGTGAAATCTTCGGAGAACTGCCAGTTGGCATCTTGTTCGCTTCAATCCTGGGCAGGTACGAGGTGCTGGCGAAAATTGCAGACTGACAGTTCTGTTTGTGCCATTGTGCTCAAATCATAATTAATCAGTAAAAAAAGTAGTATTTTCTTATCATTAGAGTACAGCCATATCGTACAGCAGGTTTAAGTTTCAATTTGTGTTTCACAAAGTCAGTATTACACGATAATGTATGAAATCTTGTAATAGAACTTAGTCAACTAACTCTGGATAAACCTTGTGGCTTTATTGCTACCTAACCTAGAAGGGTTTATTTTACACGAGGGTATTGGAAATGACATTAATATTGCAATTAAATAAAGCTGTCGGGCTTATCAAGCTAAGCCATCAGGCTGGAGCGTTTATTACCAGTTCCTGAGCAATGAGGATGTATTTGAACTTTAAACAAAAAAGCAACGAGCCACCCCGGTTAGGGGGTCGCGGC